AATTTATCAAGCAAGAAGTATGTTGGTTGTCACCATCCCAAACTGCCGTCTGCATGGAAGACCAAACAGTTTCTCCTTTTCAAATTTAAGGCGATCACGTATTTCGACTACAGATATTTTTTTTAATTTATCAAGCAAGACTTGAGTATGTTGTCACCATCCCAAACTGCCGTCTGCATGGAAGACCAAACAGTTTCTCCTTTTCAAATTTAAGGCGATCACGTATCTCTTTCGACTACAGATCCTCCACAAGCTTCTGTAGGTCACTGAGTGATAGCTTACCTGTTGCTGATTCACGTTCATTCCAGAGAAGCCAGCAACTGAGTCTCAGAATGCTTTCACTCTGAACACCTTCGAATATCTTGGTACAATGAACAGAAACTGTTTTATGTCAGTTCTGTTAGCTTTTTTGAACGCTGACGACAGTGAAGGTCTACGTACATTGTGATATTGCTCGGAAGCCCACAAAAGGGTCGAAAAACGAACCTGATAGGAATAGCATTATTTCCGAGGAGGTCAGCGCCACTTAACACTTGCTAAGTTCACTTTGGAAAATACCCATGGTTTGAAAAATCCGGGGACTGATGGAAAATCGAGCCGTATTTATTTGTGATAGACATAGTTGGAAAGCAGGTGGCTGAGACGTCATGTTCATAAAGGCTGAGAAAGAGCCCGAAATCGGTTTTAGGCAGACTCGTATCCACGCTATCCGAATCGAGTATCACTGGATTTGATGTGTTCTTTGAACGGGCAGTTCTTGTAGTTTGTGCATGTCATAAAGGAAGTCATTTGGAATACGGCCAAATGGTCCTCTCTGCAAGGGCTTCTCCCCTGACACAACCAATCAGATGAACACTATGGTTGGTTGATTGTCTGCGGAGCTCATCATCATCATCATCATCATCATCATCATCATCATCATCATCATCATCATCTTCATTGTCATCATCATCGACAGCATGACATCAATGTTCAACACCGATGCTTCACTGCCGTACAACCATGATCCATTTGAAAGCCTTACTGTAAAGAAAAGAGTAACGGTGGATGGGGAAGAACTTGGTGCTAGCTTACCACAATCATTCCGAGGTGCCTATACCTCCAGACATTCACTCAGGCGATCGGGATAGAAACTGACAACAAGAACGCCACTGATATCGGTTGGCAGCCATAGATTGTAGTGTCTCCAACCAGGCACAGTGAGGATCACGCGGTCCCCAACCTGGAAGGCGAGTAGCACCGACAGCACCCAAGCATTTCGTAATCTCCTTCATACTCCTCTGCCAAGTCGAGGGTTGGCCACCTCTCTGCTTACGCCACTCTGAATTGGGCATGGAAAACAGCACTCGCTTCGGCAAACGATGGTTCGGCATACGTAACGCATGTCCCAACCAACGCAGCTTCTGGTGCTGGACACATACTTTAATGGAAGTAGCCGTTGCACAACCGAAAACGCGCTTCCCAACTGCCTCATTACGGATTCGCTGACACCAACCCACACACAGGTTCGTCGAGCATGGTCCGTAAAACCGATTCTAGTTGCCTGAGAGTGAATGACAATCTTGACAACTTTGATTGTGAATTAAATAAACTAACGCAAGTTTGAGGAACCCTCTCGCCAGATGACTGTATTTGGAATTACTGGAACTTTATGGAGTTTACTCCGTAAAACAAAGGAGGTGATAGTGTTGTGGGGTGAGACTGACAAGCATACGGGATACGGGGTGTCTGGAAATCGCCTCAACAATGCTAGAAGCTATACCTGGAGCGGCCACTGAACCAGTCGACTAAAGCTGACCGACATTGCCCTTGAAAATGATCCGTTCTCAACCACTGCATCACCGCTGTATTACCATTCACAAAGTTGTCGATATCAAAGTCTGCCTAATTTCATGAAACTAGTAAAAGATGTATCCCATATTGGGTATTTGTTGTTGGAGAAACCAATAAACGCTATATTGATAACTGAAAGATGTTCACATTTGAAGCACGAACCTCTCACACGTTACCGTCAAGCGGTGGCTATCGCAGACTGGCAAAGTGCCCGTTTCCAGCAAATGATTTGAACTGGCATTCACTAGTGCATGAAACTTACGACCTGTTTTCCAGTCGAAATCTCGCATATGTGTCGACACACCCTCCATGGGTACACCGGCTTTTTGCACACAGTCCTTGTGTACAATCGGCATGGTCCGCTCTAGCGGGTGCTGTCGGTATGCGTCACGATAGTCCGATATGCTATCGAACGGAGTCCCTGAGGCAATGTACTGGTGACTGGGCTTGCAGCTCTGTGTCGGAGACATCCTGTAAAAGAGCGTTGAAGTAGCGTTTGTACACTAATGCAGCTGAGGCAAAAGTTGCTTGCAATAAATCCCTGCTTTTTTTAAGGACGATATTCAAATAACGGTGTTTTTTTAAACAACATTCCCGTTTTCTCAGTGGTAACATGCTGAACAAATTGAATGCAACTCAATCGAGCTAGTTAAGTCGCTGGTTTCTGAAAGAGCTTTCCTGGAGGATTGGGAAGATGGCGTTCTACAGTTGACCTTGACATTATTCAGTGTTCAGGACATCTTCGGAACTGCTGTTCCAAGCCTGTCTCATCTGCTGATACATTATAATACATTTGTGTTTGTATTACATATTGTATATTATATTATTCATCGTTGATTAATATCATCGCAAGTTTTGCTATTCCATGTTTTATAGTGCATCATAAGATATTATACATTCTGAATATTTTACTGTCCATATTAGGGTTTCGCGGGTTGGTCAACATGATCTCATGATGGCCTAGACTTGGAACATGACCTTAGTTTCTAAGCCTTGGTACATGAGAAGTACTGTCGGTACCACTACAAACGACTCGGAATGGGTTGTAAAACCCTAGACGTATTATTCACAATGAAGTAAGTTTTTTTTAAACAGTCAATAAATTATGGGATTAGGATGTTTTCTATACAAACCACGTGTTGATTTGTAGTCCAACAATGGGGTGAAGTGATGAGGAACATAAGAAATGGTAAATGTGACATTTGATCACATCAAGGTGCATTCGCACGACAGTCAGTGGAAGCATTCAGAAGTGTCGGGGTGAGCGTGAAGAGTTTAAGTTGGAATTGGACAATTTTTTGCCACTGTCCTCATCGTCATAGATAAGAGTGGATAGTGAGAGGACCTGACACAAGTGAAAGGAGGAAATCCTTCCGCCAGGAGTCTTCTATCAACTAACCAACTAAACAGTTGCAAACTATTGGACAGGAAAGTAAACGTCTTACATGCACCTTGTTTTCAAAAGCTGAACGCGTCTTCTTCAACTTTCGTAGATATTCATTGACTATCATGCAATTAAAGACGAACGCTGCAAAGAAGTTTCACAAGCTTCGTAAATGACCTCTCCTTCCATTGGACGCGAGGCGGAATGCTGAACAAATTGAATGCAACTCAATCGAGCTAGTTAAGTCGCTGGTTTCTGAAAGAGCTTTCCTGGAGGATTGGGAAGATGGCGTTCTACAGTTGACCTTGACATTATTCAGTGTTCAGGACATCTTCGGAACTGCTGTTCCAAGCCTGTCTCATCTGCTCATACATTATAATACATTTGTGTTTGTATTACATATTGTATATTATATTATTCATCGTTGATTAATATCATCGCAAGTTTTGCTATTCCATGCTTTATAGTGTATTATAAGATACTATACATTCTGAATATTTTACTGTCCATATTAGGGTTTCGCGGGTTGGTCAACATGATCTCATGATGGCCTAGACTTGGAACATGACCTTAGTTTCTAAGCCTTGGTACATGAGAAGTACTGTCGGTACCACTACAAGCGACTCGGAATGGGTTGTAAAACCCTAGACGTATTATTCACAACGAAGTAAGTTTTTTTTAAACAGTCGATAAATTATGGGATTAGGATGTTTTCTATACAAACCACGTGTTGATTTGTAGTCCAACAATGGGGTGAAGTGATGAGGAACATAAGAAATGGTAAATGTGACATTTGATCACATCAAGGTGCATTCGCACGACAGTCAGTGGAAGCATTCAGAAGTGTCGGGGTGAGCGTGAAGAGTTTAAGTTGGAATTGGACAATTTTTTGCCACTGTCCTCATCGTCATAGATAAGAGTGGATAGTGAGAGGACCTGACACAAGTGAAAGGAGGAAATCCTTCCGCCAGGAGTCTTCTATCAACTAACCAACTAAACAGTTGCAAACTATTGGACAGGAAAGTAAACGTCTTACATGCACCTTGTTTTCAAAAGCTGAACGCGTCTTCTTCAACTTTCGTAGATATTCATTGACTATCATGCAATTAAAGACGAACGCTGCAAAGAAGTTTCACAAGCTTCGTAAATGACCTCTCCTTCCATTGGACGCGAGGCGGAATTACGAGAAAACCACATACTACTTGCATGCTTCATCAGTAGTATCCACCGTTACACCAGTACTCCATAATCACTTTGACATGGCTACATCACCAAACAATCTGAACATAAAATGACCGTTCGAACACCACTGACGTAGGGTAGTAACTTTATCTTGCAAATTTACTAGCCAAAAGTACGGGGTCAGAAGGACCCTATGGTGAGACGCGAGGCTTATTTAGATACTTTTAACATCCTGTCCACCAGATCACGTGCTGTCACCTGTACAGCTTACTCCATTTCGATGAGATTGTGCAGGATAACACCAATCAGAGCAGAGGAGGATTACTTGAGAACGGAGCGCTTAAATAGTGGATAGTTATCTGCAAATTAGCTTGGTATCATTGAGAGGCTAGACTGCCTACCGGTGAAATCTGTTGTACGCAAGAGACTTCAACCGGATGTCCTCCATAAGGACGGCCTCTTCTTTCTGTTGGAAGGACATTCAAGATATCAAGGTATTTTTCTAAACTAAACACTGTTTATATATAATTTTGACAATGATTCTTTGATAGCATATAACTCCATTTGTGTAAGTCTTTGTTCAAGCAGAAACTCGGGGAGGCTGGGCCTACCGGATGAGAGCCATAAATGGCCGACACGATGGTAGGTGATCGAAGTTTTTTCAGCAACCTTATAGAACTAATGGGGGTGAGATGGTTCATTGGTCAGAGAGCAAATTTACTGACCCTGGTTCGGACCTGACCTCTGTTTCTCGATTTCCTCTATCTAAGCTTGGGCAACCAGGCAGTATCCAAGCCCTCGTGGTTCCTTCTGGTGACATAACAGTTAAGCGCCGAAAGAATGGTACAGCTGAACGATTCATTAAAGTAGTGTTCGGTCAAGTTGTTTTGGGTAGTGAGCGTTGTGTAATCCTGGATCGATGCCGTTGATACACAAGCTAAAGGAACCGACCAAATAATTTGGTCGCTTCAGCCATACGGAGCTTGTGACATCGCTCCACAATCGGTTTGCACCGGGGCAGTGTGTACACATTGGCGACGAGTAAGACACTAAAAACCACTCTTCTATCACAGCGTTTGTTTGGTACTTTTGGTTTCATTTGAGGCCACAGTATGCAGTTCTATGTGAATTTTATATGAATCGGGGAGCCGAACAAAACCCTACGTCAGACTTCTGAGTCATAGGCTCAAGGTGGGGTACCTCAACCAAGTCCCCTTCCTCAGTCTGGGGAACCAGGAAGTGTCATTTGTCCGCGCAGTTCAGTTCAGTGTCCACCGATGAGAGAGCCGACGTTGTACTCGAATAGTAAGGCCGCAGGGAGACCCAGTCGTCAACGCGCCGTCACTTTTAGCTGGCGGAAACTGGCAAAAGCGTGTCATGTTTCATACTCTAGGTTGGACTGAATGCGGTACCAGAGGACACACAGATATCCAACCAGTGTGGGTTTTCAGGCACAATTCTCTCTGCAGTATCGTCAAGTAAATACATGACCAGAAATGTCAGCCAGTCAGCACGCGAACACGTGATGTGGAGGATGAATGGCGCCACATCCGGTCTACCTGCGAGTCCACCTCACCATCGAACACTAGATCGTGACCATGGCTTACTTATCGACTTTAACTCAAAGGTTGCAAGTAAGAATCTCCCTGATGGCGACTGCTAACAAGCACGAAGCAGTTGAGCAATGCTTCTCGGCTTTTTGTCACAGACTGAACTCACTTACAGGTCAATCAGAAACATCCAAATCACCCCATACCATCAACAAAATACACGTCACTTGCAATTCATCTCGGAAATTTACACAACACGGAAACGACAGTTATGGTGTTCTAGCTTTTATTATCACAAGTGTTCAATTCCGCCTGCAAAACACCAAAAATTGCCGAGAATCTACGGAAAAATACTGTGCAATGAACCAACCACCTCCTATTCGGTAATGACCGAATGAGACCGTAGTGGGACCGACGAACAGGACAATTCAAAGTAGAATGATTCCTCACTTATCGCTTTCGAACTGATCAATTTTTTCCGAACGTCAATTGATGTCGCCTTCGAACTGATCAATTTTTTCCGAACTTCAACTGATGTATTTATTTGTTAAGCCAGACAAGATTACCCACAATTTGGGCCATGATATAATCGACTTGGATTGATCGAACGCACTAGATAATCAGTTCTTGGAAACATCATAAACGGGAGATTCAGCTGGGTTGCAGGTGAGTCTCTCGCAAAACCAAATTAGTTTGCAAGTTTCTTGCAATTTCGTGCAGTTTGGTTTCAAGTAGAACATAAGGTCGACGGAAACTCGGGTACTGCGCCTACCTGATGAGCCCCAAGACGGGATTAGTGTCGTTGCACTCCACCGAAAACTAGAAGACAAGTTAACCAGATGTGCACCGTTTGAAGATGAGTTAAACTGTGTCCTTGAGATTCGGTTTTCAGCCTGATGAGCTGTTGATTAACTCAAAAAGCATCTGAATACTGACAAGTAGTCAGAAACTTTCGTTTAAATGTACATTCCCTCCAGCTGTGGACAGTATTTGCAGGCCTACGAATGTGTCAGAATACTTAGACAACAGTAAGAATAGTCGGCGAATTTCGCTGCTGAATGGGCGGATAGGTGGAGCAAGTGAAAAAGCCACCCCAGCCGCTTCAAGGTTAGTTCAAGGTCAATGGCTACACTAACAATGAGCAGTACTCGTGCGATGGACGGGATTTTGTGGGGAAACCCGTGTTCATCTGGAGACACCTGAGACCTGAAGCTTCTCTCATAACAGATTGGCGCGTAATGTTCACTCCATTCAGACGTTTTCAACAGATCGAATTCATTTTGAGGTCATGTGTTCAAGTACGAAATAGACTCTAATCGAATTCATTTTGAGGTCATGTGTTCAATTAGGGAGGGAATCTGAACTGTACGAAATAGATTCTGTGATGAATGCATCTTTGGCCAGTCGGGTCACTTGAGGATTATCATTCACTGTTTGCGTTCATCTTATCCAGACACGGATTAAAGTGAAAGAGGTACAAGAAAGAGGAATAGGTGATTTATGGGACACAGTGGTTGTGTGATATCGAGTCTAAGAACCAACCCGTTTCGCAAAAAACTGGTATAAGTGGGTGCGATGTACAACACAGGATGAACTTACTCATGTGGTACGTAATCCGTGGTGTATGTGGCCACTCCTTTGAACGGCTCCGTGGGTGGTTTATAGGCCTCCTGAACGTGTGGGTGTCTGGCTTCCAAGTCCCACTTCACATAATCCGCTGCGGGAAAATTGTTCACAAAATGATATTAGTAGAGTTAATTCTTTGTCTACCGCTTAACGTTGTCGTACCGCTTTACACTGTGAAATTCTTATGCAAGTTTTCTATGGATAACCAAGCAAGCAACGTCACCACAAGCTGTTTTAGTCACCTTATGGAAAAAGTGGGTTAGACCTCAACGCCTTGTGTTGCATTTAGAATGCTTTAGGCGACTCACAAAACGGAAAAAAGCGACTATGCATATATATCCTAACTGCACTTCAACCGAATTCACCTAGTTATGTTTCGATTTGCCTGCATTCAAGCTGGGGATAGTTTTCATCAGTGCGCAGGATAGAATTACATCAAGACTTGGTCTAATCACCCAAAAACAGTTATATCTTGTTAAGGAGTGGCATAACCTATACAATTGAAAACACATATTCGTCGCTCAACCCACTCTGAAACGAGGACGAGCAATTACACACGCCGTGAACTGTGTCACACTACACTACTTACGCTTTAACAAGTAGTGAAATATTGCTAGAGAAATATTTCGGAGGCCAATTTCTGATCAGTTCCTGTGTTTTGAGCCCCAGACCTGAACAACGCGTCTGAAATGAGGACGAGCGATTGCACACGCCGTGAACTGTGTCACACTACACTACTTACGCTTAACAAGTAGTGAAATATTGCGGAAGAAACATTTCGGAGGTCAATTTCTGATCAGCTTCTGTGTTTTGAGCCCCGACGTGAACAACACACATTGTTTACTACAAATATGATCCATCCACACACACAAAGGATAATCGAGTGTTCAATATTATGCACCCACAAGTCAATCATAAGTTTTGCGACACAAAGGCCTGTTCCTTGCCATACCTAGCGAACGAGTGCCCCCCTGGCTAGTGGGTGTTGCCCGATGTCTCACATGCACTTGCTTTTCAGACTGATTCACCTCACCTCTGTCAGTGGATTCACAGTTTATATCTCTTAGCGAGCACAGCTTCTACCTAAGGTTACAACCTTATACCATGCCCAAAGTTTTTGGTTTCAATTTGAAAAGTTCGAAGAATCTTGGTCAAGGTCTTGCGCATGAATGACGCGAGCGAAAAGACAGAGTCTGTGGACGGGACACAAAAGCCCAGTTTTTCTCGCCCCAACTGTTAACCCCTTAAAGTTGGAACAAAATTTTGGAGAGTTCTGAGTATGACATGTTTGAAAACCGATGAGCTGCAACTCTAGAGACTTTGGACATGAAGCTCTGCTTGGAACTACAATATAACTGAACTGATAGATCAATGTGCAGTTGCTTACATTTGTATGTTGGTTCTCCTATGAATTTCCCCTCGACCATGCGTTTTATTGGCGGTTTAGCTGGAGGTAGTCGCTCAGCTTGTCTTGCTAAAAGCAATGTAGAGAATTCCAATAAGGTAATGGAATAATTAGATCAATACTGCGTACAATTATATTGCCACAAGTAATAATAAAGACCAAATGCCGGTGAATTGCCAGTTGTTAGAAGTTGGGTTGGCGGCGATGAAGGTTGGGTCTGTCTCTTGTAGAATTGTGATAGCATAACTTGTTTACATATGGGCGGGGGATCTTAGAGACGGTAAGCTAAGTGATCTAATCCGAACCACCCCTGCACTGATTCGGTCATATGTAGTGATGTGGGAGCGCAGTTCTACATTGTTTTCAAGAACGAAACAATGAAACGTGCTGTAGCTGGAAGAAACTGAACACTATTCACCACAGACATTTTAAAAGACTTAGCTAGGTTGCCCGCATAGCTGAAATGGCGTTTTGTGTCTATCCAGTACTGTTTGAACGATTGTGGTAAATTAGCACTATTACTCGTCTCTTCACAATGAAAATTTGCTTGTATCGCAGCAAAGCATTGGTGTTAAAAATGACATAAAGCTGTGGATGTCGATAGCGATGTTGAGGGGTATACTGAAGGTGATTCACGGAACAACGTGAGCTAATTTGAAGCCAGGATGCATACAGTTCGGGTAGTGGCACCAAGCAAACTATGCCTACAGTCACCCGGTTTAAAGTTAGCTGACACTGAAATCAATGTACTCCCACTTCGTGATAGATTAGCACGGCAATCATAGCAAAGACCGTATGCATTCACGTCGAGGGACACCATCTCTTTTAATAACAGCACTGAGCACCAGAACACTCAAAAAACTCTCAGTCCGGGGTGGTACACATTCATTGTCCTTTATTCAGGGATTCCTAACAGTGTTCTGATGTGAATACTATTCAAGATTGCCTACTAAACCTAGATCAGAAGTGAAATTAGCAAACACCCTTTGAACCGTGAATATCCAGCCTCCAAATAGCCCAACGACTAAAACTCAAGGGTATTGACTAAACCGAATCAAATCGCGGCTTTCCATCATAGCTGGATCATTATTAGTACAATCACTACTGGTCTACGGTCTACTGTATGTTTACACAGTGCGTAGACAGAGGTCTGTATCATGTGACCGCATGCTTGCCGAAAAAGAGACTGCTCCAATAAGTGGTACAGACACCGTTTCCAGAAATGTTCCCACCGTTCAATACCAGAACTAATTTGAAGATCTTTAAAATAGATAGTCAAAGTGTTGCCAGAAGGTTCAGCTAGATCAATCACAGTCGTTCTTCTCGGTACTTTACCTAACTTACATCTTTGTAGATGTAATAAAGGGATTCGACTGGTGTGAAATCCTTAAATCTTTGACAATACCGCCTTCTGTAAAAATAAATCGGTAGTGCGGCGATTTGGTGTGAGCACGGTGAAATCGCTTGCAGATTCCTTATATTTGAGTTTCTGCTGGTACAATCACCTACTGGAGCTACCTTTTTATCATGCTTTCTCAAGTGTCCCGATGACTGAAGGTGCATTCTTCTTAGAGTACTTATTAGGGTCTCCGGGTTAACAAAGCCTACTTACTATGCGATATTCCCACGACCCACGTGTTTTCATTCGATTAGCACACCACCTAAGGACAGCTGTCTTCCTGAATTCCGTTTTCCGCTACCTTTTCTGTGCTTAGTGACTGGCCAAGGTGTGTATTGTGGAGATCATTCCAGTCGGTGTGACCGTTTTTCCATAACTAGAGGATTGATTAAGCGTAGTAACAAGCGGTGTGCTGTAACTCGTGAAGATGAACAAGTGTGCAAAACCTAACATTTTTGTTTTGACCACCTAATACACGCACGCACGCACGCAAGCATGCATGCATGCACACTTAGCCGTAGGTGAATTATTCCAGTCCAGCTGATCGCTTGAGGCGAAAGATAGCCCATTCGAATGCCGTAACGCAAACTGGCTTAAAGCATGGTGAGTGTTCACTCAATGGCCTGCCCTGATAAGTCCTTGCAAGCAGACAGTGGCAACGCACCGTGTTAGCAAACAGCCAGTCACAAATTTGTGCGCCAGGATGAATAACAAGGAAACAGAATGTAAAGGTGGCTCACCAAATTACAACTCAGTGTTCATTTGAGATAAACTTTATTCTGAAGATAACAGGGGGAGGGAAGAGTTTTATTCTTAGCCTGCTAACCCCCAACTGTTAGGTATACACTGACCACGTTTTGAAGCATCTCCAGCCGAGCACATGTTAGGAATTTCAGGTTACGTCCACAGCATCCGAAGTTTTTCCTCCGTTCAACGTCCGTTCAATTTATGCGCTCTGGACTACTCTAAATTCTGTTATCGAAGTGCTAAACACCACCGCTGAAGTGAATACCTCATGTGTCACCTCATACCTATTCGATAGCTACAACGGTGCACATTCACTGACGTTAGTGGATGCTATTGATGAAGAGGAAGCGATAGAGGATGTTTGTTCGGTGAACTCGTATGGGAACAGGTTTGAACTCACGTATATATTCCTTGGTGTAGGTCGACACCCCATCGAAATGGACCTTCGGTGGCTCATAGGTACGTTCCGGTTTGAACGATGGTTGAACGCCCAACGGATGAGATACGTAGTCTTTGCTTTGAAGGCAGAACAGTGTGATGAACTGTGTAGATTTTTATTGGAACTGGCTGAGGGCACATGATTTCCATCCGTAAAAATAGTACATTTGTTCTTAGAACCTAGATCTACTTCAATGCTGTAGTATCAAACTTAGCATTAAATAGGTTTGTTTAAATTTTGAAGGTCAATAAAACCACTGAGACAGAAGTGACTTATGTAGTAGTGAGTTGCCAACAGCTTGTTCTTATATCTTCTCTCGAAGAGACAAATGTTCTAAACTGAACGGCAGGCCAATCTACTTCACAAGAGGAAAAATACAACCCAGGCATTCTACTGATTGTTACTACTAACGCGGTTGGTGTTCCATCTCACCACATCTGAGCAATTAACGTAACGCTGTGCTCAGAAGCCAAGAGATTATGTACGGCAATTTCGTTCCTACCGGCAACAATCAATAATGCATTTAGCATAGAGATCCGAGCCTTTAAACCATCGGTCTTCCGGTTGGTAGTCATGGGACAGCAACAAATTTCATCACGATTGACTGATTGCCACACATGCCACGTGATCCATTTCTGATTGGTCCTTCAAATGAAGAACTTAGAGGCGGAAAATTATGGGGATGATCAAACGAAAGACCGCGAGATTCCTGGTTTGCGACTAGGACAAGATGAAAACGTAGATCAATCTAAAAAACAGTTTTTAAAGAATCCATTTTTGTCTGAATAATTTGAAAACGTACTCTTTTGTTAATGTGCCACTTATTTGGCCCTTAGCCTCACTGACGATCGACAGTGAATATCTATCTATTCAAACAACCGGTCACCCATCTGTTATGAATTCGGTTTCAAGCATAGATATATTCTCAAGCCGTAGATAACTGGTCTGCAAGCTGAGGGTTTATTCTGATAGGTTCTTCTTAGAATTTCACCCAACCACTCAGTCTGACAGTTACAATTAGCCTCAAGTTGCCCTATCGGATTATTGCTTATGAAACGTGATTGGTTGAGAGAGACCTAGACCTTCAAATCCATTACGCTCACACGGCACACAGTTAGCTTTCTGTGATCCTCCGGCTATTTCCAAATGACGTGCTACGTCTGTCTCTCAGGACAAAATGTCCATTGAAAATTTCACGGGTTTCCTGTATGGCAACCTGACGTGTGGAAAAATCCTCGGAACAGCAAGTCCTTACTATCAGAAAGACTACTCACAAGGTTGCTGAAAACCATTCAAGAGCCCATGACCGGTATCGCCCTTCTTGGGGCTTATCAGGGAGGCTCACCTCTCTAGTTTCTGCTACACTGGTGTTCCACTTGAACCCAAACTATGACCTTGTGAGTAGTTTCCTTTATACTGCGATATCTCGATACCAACAGAAACATGAGATGGCCTTTGTACAGCACATTCCGCTAAAGGATATCACAGACGAGAGGTTCAGGTGAGCCCCTGTGAGAAACAAATTGATATGCGAATGAGGGAATTTTTATTGCTGTAAAACTGTCGACAAAAATAATCGGAACCTAGATGCGTTTTCCATTACGTGCCTATCGGTACTTTTTGTGTCGAACGATTCTAATGAAATCGTCTGAAATAAAAAAATATACATATCTTGTTGAATTTATGTAGGACATTTATTCCGACTTTTGAGGAAATAAATTTAAACTTTCGTGTATTAGTTAACAAATTTTCAATGTGTAGGGACCTAAATCACTTCCAAAACGTCGCGTTTGCCGGAATAGTAAGTGATTACACCTTATCAGGTGTGAAATTTTGGAATATTCTTTGTTAGACGTAAAAATCCGAAAACTTATCGCACTTTAGAAAGTTCACAAAATGGCAGTCGGTCATCCAAAGCTCAGTTTGTGAAACGTCAGCGCTGGTTATTCGTTAGTTTGCGTTCTTTCTCACAACTGAATACAACACAAGTAATGGGCGATAATGCAAGTCTCCAGGGATATAGAACCACCATCGTCCCTCCGGTCGTCACTGAAAACATTGCTGTCATCAATCTCATCACCATCACCATCACTGCCACTACTATCAACATCTCATCCTCATCTTCAACATTACCATCAAAATCATCATGCTCATCATCATCATCATCATCATCCTCATCATCATCATCATCATCCTCATCATCATCATCATCATCCTCATCATCATCATCATCATCCTCATCATCATCATCATCATCCTCATCATCATCATCATCATCCTCATCATCATCATCATCATCCTCATCATCATCATCATCATCCTCATCATCATCATCATCATCCTCATCATCATCATCATCATCCTCATCATCATCATCATCATCCTCATCATCATCATCATCATCCTCATCATCATCATCATCATCCTCATCATCATCATCATCATCCTCATCATCATCATCATCATCCTCATCATCATCATCATCATCCTCATCATCATCATCATCATTGTGTGCGGCAGTCTTACCTCTCCAATACAGCCTAACCGTCGTGTGTCTGAGCACACTCCGTCTGTACTAACTTTACTGAGCTTTACTGAGCCTATCCACATCCACTTGTCTTGGTTTTACCCTGTGTTCCACTACCGCATTGTGTGGCCAGTGGCAAACTAGCTTCAAGGTCAGTGAATCAAGCTGCGGACCTACCGGTGCGTCGTATCTGATTCCATTGGACCCTGAGCTTCGATCGGTCGGTGTGCTGGCTTGCATGACTTTACCGGCTGGAGTTCGTACGGGATGTACTTGTTGGTGTATTCTGAAATTCCGCAGGGGGTCGTAATCGGTTTCTTTCTCGAATGTGGGCAACGATGTCGTCTAGAAGGGAGTAAACAAGAAAAAGGGGTGATTTAATCATGGAGTTGAAAATCAATCCACTTTCGTTACACATGGCTAAAATCATTCGTGTAAAAAGTAAGTCGCTGAATGATTTCTAGTCAGCTGAAAGCTAACAAGTATCCACAATTATTTGATGGGCAAATCTGTCAGTGTATTTCAGGTGCATCGTCAACAATTCCGGAGTGTTTCAGTACATTTTTATGGTAACTGATTTCGATTATATCGAGAAGTGTTCCGGCTTCTAGGCTCGACCATTCCGAAGAGTATCGAATGAAACCGGACTGAATAAACGTACTGCATATCAAATGCAGAAGTTTTATTTACGTTTAGGTCCGCTTGTGATGCAGGTAGTCCCATCTGGTTCTTCGGGTCGGCTTTTATTCTGACCTGTGAATGGAGACGACACCGGCAAAAGGGAACTGACAGCCACATGGGATGTCGAAACGAAATCGCATTCGGCTAGGTCACGGTTCCGATACGCCTGAACCTCTCAATTAGTACCATGTTTCTTAATTCGTGAGTCATCTCACTGGATTTTTCAAGAACTGGATGAAGGTATGAAGATGTAACACTACATTGTAGATCAAGCTAATAGCAACCGCCTTGTTCCCTACCAAAGACTGCTTCTCTCCGACCAAACTGGCGTTCTTGTAGGCACTCTGTCCACAGACGCAAGCGCCTTGGACAGTCCTCTTGTAGCACTATTCTGTACAATAAAGAAAGAAATTAACCGATATGAGCGACAACGTATTAAAGCGCTGTCTACAAATAGAGCTGACTGTGACAAACAAGTGTAAGAATGGATTACATGAGACGAGGCATCTAGAGAGCACACAGAACAGGCATAGGGGAAGGCTTGCGCTGTTCACCTTCAGTTAGTTGATGTGGTTCTTCTACTCTTGCAGAATCGCTTGATTTTTCGTCGACTTTTACGTCACTTGCTCCATTGTTAGACACAAGGGCTCATAGGAAGGTATTTGATAGCCTTTTCCGTAAGACTGTATTGTATGTTCAATAAGAAATTTAACCCTCGATGGCGCTCGTGCATCCAAGCTATTACCCTCAGTGCATAGCTCCCTTACCAAACTGCCCACTTAACAGTCCACCTACAGTGCTGTATTTACGCACTAATTTATCAGCGCAGCAACCTACCCCACCTCCCCGAGCCATCAGTGAACGAAGCTGTGGCAGCTGCAACCACTTTACGACAAATGCGCGGTCCTTAAAACTGACAATGATGATGATGATGACTTCGTCTTGTCAGTGAAGCAAATTTGTGCTGAAAAGCTGAGAAGCACTGTAAAGCTGTTTCTTCCCTATTGGGAATCATCAGCAGTGCGCGTCTCACGAAGCTCAGAGCGTTTTCAACCTGCGAACTTCCGGCCAGTGGCTGAACACTCGACCGTTTGGCCACAAGCGGCTGGTCAGTAGTGTGATTAGCACTCACTTAGATATTGCCACTCATCTTCTAATAGAGGAAACCACTTCACGTGATCGCGTATTGATTGGCACCTCAAGTGACAAGTTCTCAGTTGGAAATTTCTCTCAATTGTCGAAATTTTTCTTGTTCTGAGATTTATGCGTGCGAAAAGTTTAAACTCGAAACATAATGGACTAGATGTGTTATAGTCCGACGTCCTGATTTCCGTGGGCAACTTTTTTCCAAGGATTTTTACAACCAATTGAATACGAGTCAAATGTAGCGTCATCAGGGCCCAATATACCGTCTTCTGACTGGTGTGTTCATATGATCAAATGACAGTCTGATACGATCAGCTGCGTGAGTGCTTGTGTACTTAATTGTGTGTACTTTGACTCGGATATGCCTCCGTGGTTGTTGAGCTGGATGTGATGTATCAATGGTGAGATTCCTGCTTGATTTGTGACCACCATGCTTACTAAGAATTGCTGTAGTTCCAAGCCAGATAGACGTATGTGCTTCGTAACCTTGAAGAAGGCGGAACTTTTCAACGCCACTTCACGTACATTTCACGTACAATTTCACAAAACATTACAAACGGGAAATTCAGCTGGGTTGCAGGTGAGTCTCTCGAAAAACCAAATTAGTTTGCAAATGAGTGTATTTCACGTACTTCTTGTTTAAGACGGCGTCTAGAAGTTTCTTGAGTCGGAACAAACGTCCAATATGCTCAAGTTTAGCTTTCAACCATGAAAAGTGTTCATGAGGTGCATCCTCTCAATGGTTGCATTTAAGTTCACACTGGTATTGGTCGTGTGGACTTATAGGCACTACTGGCATCCACAGTGGTGTTAGAATGGATACCTTTAGTTGTCATTCTGCCAGAACAGCCCTGCCGCTGTCTTCATGAGAACGCCCTTTCAGGAGGTCATATATTCCCGCGGTGCATAAGAACTCAAAGCGCAGTCAGTTTCACCTATGGCTGGAAGCGGATTCTTCTGGAGCCTTCCCTCGGGTGTGTGTTTCACTTTTGAAGTGATTCCGCACCATTGTAATGTACTACTTATAAGGTTGCTGAAAATCCGTCGACAGCCTACTACCGGTTTCGCCCCTTTTTGGGGCTCATCAGTCGCCTGAGAACATCACAAACGAGAGATTCAGCTGGGTTCCAGGTGAGTCTCTCGAAAAACCAAATTAGTTTGCAAATGAGTGTATATTTGCTGATTCTGCATCACTTACGAACTACTACCATTTCGCTCCAAAATTTCACGGTTCCAACATAAAAAAGTAACATTCGACACAGGTCGGATACGGTTGATGAAAGGTGGAAGGTCATCACGCCCTCAAAGGTGAGAATCATTTGTTATTGATATAACTTAAGCAATATAACGGTTATTGTGTATCCAATCAATAGTGTATACTGAACAGAACGCTAAACTCAAACAATACGTACATAGTATGCAGAGGATGGGGAGCAGCGAACGCGATTTTGTATTAGGTCACGCTCAAAGTGTACTTTTAATGATCTCGCCTAACAATACTGTTTCACCTTACGGGCGGTGACTCTGAGATAGAGGTCAGGCACAACCTACCCGCATAATTCCGTGAACCTGAGATTACTTCCCTTCTGTCAGGCTGGTGGTGACGAAGATATCCGCTACACCCATTTAACTGGCTGACGGAGAACTATACATCGTTATTTCCTAAGACATGCCTGATCGGACGATGGATTGCTGAGATCTTTATGCACGAAGCTGAAACATCCATCAAGAGATGGGAGAAATTTCCTCAAGGTTATCACTAATTTTCGGACACTTAGCATACTCAGGTGGTGGACCAAAACAAAGTAGGCACGTGATGTACATCATGCAAAAAAATCGCTACATGGGCTCTCGTGACAGGTTAACAAAAGCTTTGTGGGCGTAGGCTTCAGTTAGATGCTCACAATTCAGAGAAAACAGTTCATGGAGGGAACGTGGTGAATGGCTATTGTAAGAATAAAGTGCTGCAGGTGGAACTGGGGCTACGCAAAATCCCGTTATTCTTATCTTTTGTTGCTGATCACGATGTTGATAAAGATTGGGATGAAAGCTGGTTTCACTGCACCGTATCTCCCAAAATGTGCGAAGTAAATATAGACAAATTAAACTCTCTGATTCGCTTGAAAGATACACTCACCGGAAAGGCTAGGTTCAACTGTTCTCGATAACAGGATATGTGAAAAAGGCTACCATGCATGATGATATCATCAAATAACACCAACCTACCAAAAAGAGGATTACCTTCACGAAACAGTTTTGCGCACTGAACAATCATCTTGGCATTTTACACCGGTCATTTTATAGGCAACCTGTTTGGATCGTCTGACATGTGCTATACTACTTTGCTTTATATCTCAGTAGTGTTTAAAATGTTCTGTAGCGGAGCCGGGTTTTAAGGAACGGGCCTTAGTGCCTGGTTGCACGATTTTTTCCATTCCGATAAGAACTTTTCCAACCGATACACATAAGTGAACTAGTTTCCGGGGCTTTAACTACCATGAGTTGATAGACAAAGAATTTTTGATAAACCATACTTTGGACTTGGAATGAACGTTAATGTTTTTCACGTCAGCGTCGAGTACCCACGGGAAACTGTTTGGCCGTGTTGAAAATGAGGATGCCTGGGAAGAGACGTTTAAACCGTAACAGGTGAAAGAAAATGGCACCACAAAATTGCACGCAAAGAGGAGATCTCCGGTTCTGTTTGCTTCCACTTCAATCACTAGTAGTTCAGGAGTGGAAATTTATCACATAGTTCTTCCATGCTAGAGAGACGGTGGAAAAAAACTGATTTCTTTCCGAGTGGCGGTCTCTTGTACAAGCGGACGATTAAATTTCGCAGGTAGAAGGTAACTCTCTCCGGTGTAACACAACCCTTTTCATTGGTAATTAACTCCACTCCTTTCGAATCCAAAAAATCTGTCCGAGAGAGACCTTGAAAGCGAAGGTGCATTGCCCGTGAAGACATTTCTTAGTTTCCAAAAATCTTTGTAAGCACTAAAGAAACGTTTCCTGAACGAAAACGGGAAACCAAACCTTATTCAATAAAGTCAAATACCCCTTTCGAAGAGAAGTCTAGTTGGCAAGTGGCGAGATTACACATCGTTCATGCCGGCCAATGAACGCATTGGCAAATGAGCTTACGTTCCTGGTACACTAATACGTTGTGCAATAGCGTAAACCTATTCAACAGAAGAACACTACTCACGCTCCAGCCGCTTCGCCTCTGACTGGTGTGGTCTTGTTTTAATGACCGATTATCAGCTAGACAAATTGTGGTGCGTGAGAACATATCTGTGTGTGCGTATAAGTTCATACGACGTGACAAAAGTGCGAGGTTTTGCCTGAAGTTCGACTGGAACTTTGCATACCGTCACAAGTTGAGGGCTCTTATTCTTCCGGCTGCCTGCAACAGAATTAAATTCAACCACTACGTAGTCAATCCTTGAGGGTACGGATAACGCGCAACA